GCTCAAGGCTAGTGCTCTACCACTTGAGCCACAGCACCACTTCTGGCTTTTTCTGCTTATGTGGTGCTGAGGAATGGAACCCAGGGCCTCATGCTTGCAAGGCAAGCACTCTACCACTGAGCCACCTTCCCAGCCCCCACTGCTTCTTTTTATTTCAAATGGTAGTTCAGATTCTTTGCTCCATGTTTACCCTAAGGAAACAAAACATCTTAACTCTGGAGACCTTAGTAATCCCCTATTCTCCAGGATAAGTCCTTACTGATCCTTGCTTCCCAGCATGTGTGCCCTTCACTAGCCTCCTGCTCAAATTCAATTAAGGCTCACCCTGAATATGACAAAGATGATATGTGAATTCCAAGAATAAGTCATAAAATCTGTTGCAACTCCTCATTGGGTCTATTAATCACTTGTTCTAGGATAAGCCAGTTGCCACGCTGTGAGGACATTCAAGCAGCACTGTGGCAAGACCCATGTAGCCAATAGTCTGTGCCAAGTCAACAAGCCTGTGAAAGTCACCTTGGAGATGGATTTTCCAGTTCCAGTCACCTTCAAATGACTGCTGCTCTCACCAACATCTCACTGCAATCTATTAGAGAACTACCTAACTGTGCCACAACTCAATTCCTGGCTCACTGAAGTTGTGAGTGATTTTCAATGTCTTAATCACTAAGTTTTGAGGTGATTTGTTATGCAGCAATAGACATCTAACACATTACCAATATTACTTACTGCTGCTATATGAACTATCCTGTTATGGCTGAAAGTGTGATCATTCAAAGTAACCTCTTAATAACTTTGTTTTTACAACTCCACATGTCATCAACTCTGTATCTTTTCCTATAGAACACTCAGAAAACAAGAATAATCAGTCAATGGAATATTTAGTGAATATTCATTAAGTCCAAGGTCATCTTCTCTATCCCCTCCCCTTCCCTCTTCTTTCTCTCACTCCCTTCCTTTTTTCTCTTTCTTTTTTTTTTGGTCGATTGTGGGGCTTGAACTCTGGGCCTGGGTGCTGTCTCCACGCTCTTCAGCTCCAGGTGAGCGCTCTACCACTTGAGCCACAGAGACACTTCAGGTTTTCTAGTGGCTTATTGGAGATGAGTCTCATGGACTTTCCTGTCCAGGCTGGCTTTGAACTGCCTCCTGAGTAGCTAGGATTACAGGTGTGAGCCACCGGCACCTGACCTCCCTTTCTTTTTTCTTCCTCTCTTGAGACAGGGACTTTGCTATGTAGCAAAAGTTGACTTTGAACTCATGATCTGTCTGCCTCAGCCTTCTGAGTGATGGCATCTAATTCTAATCCCTAGAAATATATAATTTTCCAAGACAGAATTTTGAAGAAATAGAAAATCTAAGCAGATCATTAATAAGGAAACTGAAGAATTAACCAAAAACCTCCCTATAAAGAGAAACTCAAGACCAGATGCTTTCTAAGTTAATTTTACATGTGTGTAAAGAATAGTTAACAAATTCTTCTCATACTCTTCCAAAAAAAAATCTAGTCTAGAAGGGGCAAACAGTTTTAAAAACTCACATTACAAGGTGAATATCATCATCATACCAAAGCTAGATGAAGATAATAGAAGAAAATAAAAATTGACGCCAGTATCCCTGATGAACACATTCTGAATTTGACAAAATTCTGTATTTTCTTTCGTTATAAAAAAACCAAAGCCCCGCAACAAATTAGGTATGGAAAGAAAATCCAGAAAAAAAGAAATGGAAGTCATCCAAATCAGAAAGAAGTTAAATGTTCTCCACAAATGACGTTATGTGTAGAAAACGACAAAAAGCTATGAGAACAAATGAATGAGTAGTTAATAAATGAATTCAGTAAAGGACACAGGACAAGGGTGTGTGTGTGGGGGGGGGGGTTGTTCAAGCCCAACAAGTGCAAGGCCCACATGTGGGTTCAAATCTCAGTACTTCAAAAAAAAAAGGGGACAGAATACAAAAATCAACTTACAAAAACTGGTTGGGAGTCTACACACTAGTAACGAACCATCTGAATAATAACCAACCATCTGGAAAAGAGACGAAGCAAGCCGCCTGGTGACACTCCAGATCCCGAGGCCTGCGGAGCGCCCATAGCCCTTAGGCTGACGCAAGAATGACGTCACGTTACATGACGCCACCGGCGCCAGCGCAGGCTCACCGGGAAGGGCCCCCTCCGCTCACCTCGGGACGCGGACGGCTACGGGCCGCGACTGACCCCGTCCGGTTCTACGCCGAGGGATCCAAGCCGTCAGAGATGCGACAGCTGAAGGACCAATAGAGCTGGTAGCGGCCGCCTCCCTCCTTCCTCCGCCCTTAATCGGGGGCAGTCCCTTGGGCCGCGCGCTCGCGAGCACCGTCCTAGCTGGAGCCGGTCACGCGCACGCACGCACGCCGCCGCCGCGCACGCCCGTTCCCTCAGAACCCGGAAGTGCGAGAGAGCGGAGCCACGTGGGTCGAGCTGGAGCGCGGCTCGAATGGGGGAGTCTATCCCGCTGGCTGCCCCGGTCCCCGTGGAACAGGCGGTGCTGGAGACGTTCTTCTCTCACCTGGGTATCTTCTCTTACGACAAAGCCAAGGACAATGTGGAGAAGGAACGAGAGGCCAACAAGAGCGCGGGGGGCAGCTGGCTGTCGCTGCTGGCGGCCTTGGCGCACCTGGCCGCGGCCGAGAAGGTCTATCACAGCCTCACCTACCTGGGGCAGAAACTAGGTACCTCCGCCCCGCCCCCGTGCCCCTGGAGGAGGAAGGAAAGGGGGTGCCTTGCCCAGTCGTCAGTGGCTTGAATTTCCCGTCTCGGTCACTCGCAGCGCGGCGGCATTTCCAGGTCTCCTCCCACGGTTCCTTTCCTCCCCTCGGCTTCCGCAAGCCCCGCCCACCGGCCTGCGTCGCCGTGTGATTGGCGGACTGGGCGGAGGCTCCTGGCCTGGCTGAGCCTCCCACCCCGCGGGTTTTTAACCATTTAAGCCTCAGGCCTGGATTGGTCCATAAAGGAAGTGAACCCCGGACTCCGTGTCCTCTGGCTAACTAGTGACACCACGCTTAGCGGAGCCAAAAACTTGGCAATGCAACCTGGTTGTGTTCTTTCCTGTTTGGGAAAGGATCCGTGATTAAAATGTGCCAACTCAGTACCTAGATTTGAATAGGTCATCCAAGCTCTCCCCATTGATTAATTCCTGGAAGGTTTCCTTCCTCACGTTTGATTGCTAACGTTTGGCACAGTGGATCATGCCACCCAAAGTGGATCACGACTGTAATTGTAGCTATTCAGGAGGCTGAGATCTGGAGGACTCTGTGTCTTGAAGCTAGCCGGCATAAAAATCTGTGAGACTCCCATCTCCAAAATAACCAGCAAAAAGCTGGGCTGGATGCATGGCTCAAGCTCAAATGATAGAGCACCAGTTGTGAAAAAACAAAGGCAAGCCAGAGTGTGAGACCCTGAGTTCAAACCCTGATACTGCAGAGAGAAAGAGAGAGAGAGACAGGAGATGGGGGGGGGGAGAGGATAGGGAGAGAAAGAACGTGAAAACTGATTTTTAAAAAAATTACCATTAGCTATTAAGTTGTAGAGTTAAATGACACTTGTTTTACATGTTCCTTTAATATGCTTAAAATTTCATGATGTGAGATAAACTGTTGAAGCCTTGAAAAATAATTAGCATAATTAGAACCCTCTGGGAATAATTCAAAAGAACAATTTTGTAAATTGGAAGTATTGCAAAGACTCACATGTGGGGGTGTTTCTGATACCTTGTTTCTCAGTATGTTGGAAAGCCAGTCTCTATCAGACATTCCAAACTAGGGTAGTCAGCAGGTAGGACTGTATTCCTGATGGCTTTGAAAAAAAGAGACTTGTTTAAAGGAAATATGTTGATGGTCTCCTTGTTCCTGATACTGGTTTTATTTTATGTAATTTCATATACTGCCATATTAATAACTGTGAAAAGCTATTGTATTTATGTAGTGTTTCTAGTCCGGCACAGAAGGGTAACCTATTAAGAGTTGGATTCCTTTTTGATGTAAAGTTAAGTTAAAAATTTCGATAAGTCATCCCTTCCCCCTTGTTTTGGCTCCCCCTCCTCCCCCAAATGATTTTGGTCTTTGCATAGAAGAGGTTCAGTCTATGGCAGGAGAACATGGGGGAGGAAGCTGCTCACCTCATAGCAACTAGCAAGCATAAAAGGAGAAACACAGGAAGAAGGGACCAGGTCCCAAAACAAAGACCCTTTAAAGAAACAATACTTTTCTTTTTGTCCATACTGAGGATTGAACTCAAGGCCTCAAAGCTATCTACATGAGCCATGCTCCCAGTTCTTTCAGTTTCAGTTTTTTAAAATCAGGCTATCTAGTGCTTTTGCCCCAGTGGCCTCACACTGAGCTCCTATTTCTTTTTCTGGAACAACTGAGATTATAGGCGTGAATCATCATATTGAGCCAGTGGCCATCCTTCCAGTGGAAGTTGAGGTCACTTAGTTACTGTCAATAAATAGAAATTTTGCCATAGATTTTAAAAACTCAATACATATTATTAGGAATTCTTATACCATTTACAAAGGGAAGGTGTAGTATTACTGAAGTGTGTGTGTGTGTGTGGGGGGCTGTCATGGGGCCTGAACTCTGGGCCTGTGTGTGCACTGTCCCTCACCACTTCAGCTCAAGGCTAGTGCTCTACCACTGGAGCCAGAGCTCCACTTCTGGCTTTTTCTGCTTATGTGGTGATGAGGAATTGAACCCAGGGCCTCATGCATGCAAGGCAAGCACTTGACCACTGAGCTACCTTCCCAGCCCATGAATTGTGCTTTTTTTAAATAGGTGTCTTGAAAATATTTCACTTTGTCTTTTTGGCATTCTACTACTAGTTTTATGTTAATAACAGCAACAATTAAGATGCAAAGTGGTTTAGTAGTTTGCATGCCATACAACTTACAGTGTAGTTTGGGGACTAAAATTTGAAGCCTAGTTTTTGAAACTTAAGTTTTTAATACTTTCATTTACTTCTTCACCTAGGAGATTTTGTCCTAGATATGGGCACAGAAGCTCCTTTAATCTGTGCCCATCACTGCAGAACCAGAGTAGAGTGAATATAGGAATAGGAGGAAGGCAGACTCTAGGGAACAGTCCTATGTGAAATGTTGGCATTACAGATGGCCACCCTTATATAGGGATTTTGTATTAGTAGAAAATATGATGTGAATGTAATTTTGTTTAGACAGTATATTGGAGCTTCTTAAATATTAGTAGATTTCCAGTTCATATTTAGTAGGATGACCAACCATTTAAGTTTGTTCAGTACCAAGAGTTTCTAGGACTTTATTTTAAAATCTGGAATAAACTGGGTTTGGTGGATTTGATATAGACCCAACTTCTCAACAGCTGAAGCAGGAGGATATTTTTTTGAGCCCACAAGTTCAAGACTAGGTTTGGCAACATAGTGAGACCTGATCTCAAAAAAAAGGAAAACAAAATAAAAAATATGGACTAAATGTTCGCCAGGAAAACAATGTTAAGTGGAAAGTCTGTGGAAGCCAGGACAAGTAGTTGCCCCAGTAGTAAAGGATGTAAATTTCTTTCTTTCTATCTTTCTCTCTCTCTCTCTCTCTCTCTCTCTCTTTCTTTCTTTCTTTCTTTTTGTTTTCGGGGCTTGAACTCTAGGCTTAGATGCTGTCCCTCAGCTCTTCAGCTCAAGGCGAGTGCTCTACCACTTGAGCCAAGTGCCACTGCTGGTTTTCTGAGTGGTTTATTGGAGATAAGAGTGTCACAGACTTTACTTCCTGGGCTGGCTTTGAACTGCAATCCTCAGATCTCAGCTTCCCGAGTAGCTAGGATTCCAGGTGTGAGCCACCATCATCACCCAACTAAATTTCATTTCTTTAAATATGTTAAACAGTGAATTTGAAACAATACTTGTATGTCTGTGTGTGTATGTGTGTAAGAGAGAGAGACTTGGGCACCAGTGGCTTATGCTGTAATCATAGCTACTCTGGAGGCTGAAATCTGAGGATCATGGCTCAGAGCTAGCTGGGGCAGGAAACTTTGTGTGGCTCTTATTGCTAATTAATCACCACAAAGCTGAAAGTGGAGGTCAAGTGGTTGAGTACTAGCCTTGAGCACAAGAAGCTTAAAAAGCTAAGGAATAGCACCTAGGCCCTGAGTTCAAGCCCCAGTACCTGCACCACACACACATACACATTCACACTCTGTCTGTCTGTCTGTCGGCCTGCCTACCTGTCTGTTTGTCTGTCTTGTGTGGTTCACTCATTAAGTGGCTATTTTACAAATAAGCAATCTCACCCCTAAGTAATTTGTTTAGTAAGAGATACATTCACTAATGCATTTGATTTATTGGCAGAAAAGTTAAAACTGCCATCCATTGCTGAGAATTTTGTATGTTCCTGTAAATCACTGATTTTTTTTTTCTTTTTGTCGGTTATGGGGCTTGAACTGTGGGCCTGAATGCTGTCCCTCAACTCTTCAGCCCAAGGAGAGCGCGGTACCACTTGAGCCACAGCGCCACTTCCGGTTTTCTTGTGGTTTACGGGAAGATAAGAATTTCATGGCCTTTCTTGTCCAGGCTGGCTTTGAGCCAAGATCCTCAGATCTCAGCCTCCTGAGTAGCTAGGATTACAGGCTTGAGCCACCAGGTGCCTGGCTGAATCACTGATTTAAATATTTCCTATTTCTTCATTCTCTTAATAAGTTATCTCTGTTCCTTTAGTGGAGTGCTTAATAGCTTAAGAAAAGATCAGTGTAACTAGCTGTATAACAAGAAATTAAGTTTAATCACTTTAAACAGAAAACTGAGTAAATGATAGCTTCCTATTCATTCACTTTTGACTGTCCTAAAGAATGTATATAATACAAATTTTGCTAATTTTCTTTGGAACCTCTGAAGTAGAGTAGCAAATAATTGGAGCCTGGTCTTAACAATTCATAATATGATGAATTTTGTCTCTTTCTTTTGTCTCTTGAAATCTCACTATATATGTCTATGCATAAAAGGGTTTTTGTGTGTGTTCCCTTTTATGGTATGGCCTATACACAATAATTCAAAGGAAAATGCCCTTTTAAAGTAGTAACAAAGCATCTTGATTTTCCAGGAACAAAAATGTTTTGATTATATGTTCTGTTTTTGTTAAAAATATATTTTAAGCCGAGTACTGGTGGCTCATGCCTATAGTCCTAGCTACTTAGGAGGCTGAGATCTGAGGATCTCGGTTCAAAGCCAGCCCGGGGAAGGAAGTCCATGAAACTCTTTTTTTTTTGTCGATTGTGGGCATGAACTCTGGGCCTGTGCACTGTCCCTCAGCTCTACAGCTCAAGGCTAGTGCTCTACCACTTGAGCCATAGCGCTACTTCCGGCTTTTTCTGCTTATGTGGTGCTGAGGAATCGAACCCAGGACCTCATGCTTGCAAGGCAAGCACTCTACCACTGAGCCACCTCCCCAGCCCCATCCATGAACCTCTTATCTCCAATAAACCACTCAGAAAACCGGAAGTGGTGCTGTGGCTCAAGGGGTAGAGTGCTATATATATATATATATATATATATATACATATATGTAGATATATATTTTATATTTATATGGTTTTTTCTTGTTTTGTTGGTTTTTTTGCCCAGGTTGATATTATTTGCTTGGTTAATAATACCCTGAGGTAAATTTGAATGTTCATTGAAGTACAATGGGAGAAAATTGGTACATGGATAAGAAAAATTGTGTATAGGTCCATTGCTATACTAATGAAGTGTAACACGTTTTCATTTGACATATTCCTCTGTGAAACTGGGAATCATAAACTGTTTGTATCATAATCATAGACTCAGAGAACGTATTTGTTGGTAACTCAGTGAGTTCCATGAGTTCTGGTTCTTTTGGTATGGTGGCAGGTGTTTGGCTCTTCTGGCTTCTCTTGCTTACTTGTCATAATGCTTATTTCATTTGCCTACCAGGGGGCCAGTCTTTCTTCAGCCGGAAGGATTCCATCCGCACCATTTATACCTCTCTGCATAATGAGCTGAAGAAAGTGGTGACTGGCCGTGGAACCCTGGGTGGGACTGCACCTCACATGGAGGAACTCCTTTCTCACCTGTCAGAGCAGCTCTGCTTCTTTGTTCAGGCTCGAATGGAGATTGCAGATTTCTATGAGAAGATGTATACCCTCAGTACCCAGAAGTTCATCAATGCTGAAGAGCTTGTTGGCCTTTTGGAGACCATCCTCAAGAAATACAGCTCCAGGTCAGTACAGAGTAACAAACTCTGAGGAATTTCCTTCCCTCTCCCCATCCCCCCCCCCGCCCCACTTTTACGAAGCTTTCTGGTGAAATAACTGAAGGAGAAATGTCTATTCCATTTTGTACATACGAATTCACCAACAGGTATCTCTACTAAACCTTTGGGTTTAGTTAACACCATGCTGAATGATTCTCCAAGCAATAGTGAAAGACTGAGATGTTGTGTTTTTTAGTGTTAGACCTGTGGCTTGACAGAATCTGGGTAGTGTTCATGATCTTTTTTGCACAGGGCTAGCACTCTACCACTTGAGCCACAGCTCTGCCTCTGTATTTTTGTTTGTTTGTTTGTTTTTTGGTAGCTAGTTGGAAATAAGAGTCTCACAGACTTCCTGCCCTGCCTGGCTTCAGACCAGAATCCCAGCCTCTTGAGTAGCTAGAATTACAGATGTGAGCCACCAACCAGCACCAGGGCTTTCAAGGTTGCATTTAAATGGGTTTTTCTTCTGCTTATGAAATAGTTCATTAAGCAAAAGAATTGCATATGCAAATAACTGTCCCTTTTATTTTGGCTTTTTGGTGGTTAGTTGGAGATGAGTCTCATGGATTTCTCTGCCCAAGCTGGCTTTGAACCTGAATCCTCAGATCTCAGCCTGCTGAGTAGTGAGGATTACAAGTGTAAGCCACTAGGCCTGGCTACACATCTGATTTTGAGGAAGGTATCTTTTAAGTTTTGTGGACTATCCAGAAAATTAGTTGGAGGAGAATTCAACTTCTAATGATGCTGTTCAACTAGAAATTTTTCATTTGAACAAAGCTACTTAGGAAGAAATGGAGCTGCTTGTTATGAGTTACTGCTGCCAGATCCCAAAAGCAATACTGAACAATTCCACGAGCATTGTGAACATCATCAAAGTTTTACTTTTGTTTCTTTGGAGCCTACCGTGGTGTCTTGCACATAGTAGGTCCTCCATAATTGTATGTTCGACTGATTAGAAAGTGATTTCTTTGAAAGATATCACTGCTTTGAGATCACTGCTTTGAGAATATGAATTTAGATTTTGGTTTAATAAAGAAATTTGACATGGTGGACTGTGCCAAAAGCTCTACCCTCTTAGAAGACTGAGACAGATTGATAGCAGTTTGAAGCTAGCCTGGACAACTTAGTGATGTTCGTCAAAATGTATAAACAAAAGACTGGAGGTATGGCTTAATTGGTAGAACACAAGCAGGGAGCAAAAACAAACAAACAAAAAAATGAAAAACAACAACCGAGAGAACTCCAGCCCTGAGTACAAGCCTCAGTACCAGCAATAAACAAACACAAATAAATTGAAAGATTTGGGTACTTATACTTCTCTTTTCCTGGAATGTTACTGCTGTCTTATCTCTAAGTCTTGTTTAATGTCTGAGAAGCTTTCTCTTGCTGTTCTACAAAAGTTATCTTTTAGTTGCCATCCTCATCCACTATTATGATTTATTATTATTGGCACAACTAGAGTTTGAACTCAAGTGTTTATGCTTGCTAAAGCAGTTATTCTACCACTTGAGTCATGCCCTACCTCTTTTTGCTTTAGTTTTTTATGCTTTGTGCTTGGGGCTGTCCTGGAATTTTGATCCTCCTTCTATGCCAATCGTGTAGCTGAGAATACAGAGATATATTTGGCTTGTTTCTTTTTTTTTTTTGCCGGTCATGGGGCCTGAACTCTGGGTCTGGGTGCTGTCCCTCAGCTCTTCAGCTCAAGGCTAGTGCTCTACCACTGGAGCCACAGCACCTCTTCCGGCTTTTTCTGTTTATGTGGTCCTGAGGAATCGAACCCAGGGCCTCATGCTTGCAAGGCATGCACTTTTCCGCTGAGCTACCTTCCCAGCCCAAATAGGGTCTTTTCCCCCAGGCTAGCCTCAAAATACAATTCTCCCAATCTTTGCCTCTTGAGCAGCTGGGATTATAGGCCTGTTCCTTGGATTCTTGAGTGTTTGTATTACTGATTTGCACCAGCAGATGTAATTGTGTCTCTGACTTGAAAGGAACTGTGTGAGGTGGATTTGTGATGGAGAAAGATTGTGTTTTGGGAGGAGTTTTTTTTTTAAATCTCATTAGAGTATCACACAAACAAGTTTTTTGCATTTTATGAGATTTTGTGGAGCTTCCCTGCCCATCCTCTCTTTCTCCCTTTCTTCCTTTCTTTAGAGCAGATGTTCTCTGCAAATAGTTTTCAGTTTATTTTGTATGCAGACTTGCTGCTATAGTTTAGGTGTATATTTTTGGATTACAACTAAAGCAGATTCCTCTACGATGCAAGTTGTGAATAACTATGAGCCATACAGCAGGGTGGAAAGAGAGAAGTGATGCAGCATAATGTGAATCTCTATGTGTAAGCAGACTTAAAATTAACATGGATTTTTAGTTCTTGAGAATGAAAAAACAATGTCAACACATTCTTTTTTGATAAATGCTGAACATTTAAACACTTACTATGTCATGGAAGGCTTGTTCAGAATTCCTTCTGATGGTTTGTACAGTGAATTCATGTCCTTTGAAGGAGAGCATTGTATATAAATACTGGTTTCCAACTGAAAGCAGTAGAAAATTAATGGAGGTGTTAGTTATATAGGTGTTTCCTGACTTATTTGACTTACCACTTTTCAACTTTACAGGGATGTAAAAGTGATACACATTCTTTAGAAACTATTTGGGTTTTGATTATTTTCTGAGGTAACAGTATATAGAACAGTACTCCCCCCAGGCCTATGAAGTATATATCTTTTTATGGGGGGGGGTGGTCCGGTCATAGGGCCTGAACTCTGGGCTTGGGCGCTGTCCCTCAGCTCTCTACCACTTGAGCCACAGCACCATGAAGTATGTATCTGTTAACTACAGAACATAGGTCAAAAAGTTTAAAAACATTTTGTGTGGGAACTAGTGGGAATGAAGTCACACTAGTATTGTGACTGTAATATTAAATTATAGGTTATTTAATATCTGGAGAAAGTGAAAAAAAGAGTAGGAATGTGGTTCAACTGAGTAAGGACTAGACTTTTTTGAGTATTTAAAGACGGCCTTACACATTTTTCACTTTATCCTAAATGGAAAGTGATCTTATTTGTCTACCCTTGTTCTATTATTTTGGCAGTACTAGGATTTTAACTCAGGGCTTTGAGCTTTCTAGGCTGGTGCTCACCACTTGAACTACAACTCCAGGTCTACTTTTTGCTGGTTATTTTGGAGATGGAGTATAGTGAACTTTTCTGCCCAGTCTGGCTTAGAACCAACATCTTCTAGATCTCAGACTCCTAAGTAGCTAGAGTTATAGG